CGCGCTTCAGCTGCTCGCCCACTGGCCCGCGCCTGAGAAGGCCCCGCCCCTCGGGCGGGCCGCGCAGGGCGCGGAGCTCGGCGCCGACGCGGCCGCGCAGCGGAGGCAGCCCGGGGAGGGGGCGGGCCCGGACTAGGCCCCGCCCCCAGCCAGGGGCGGTCCCAGGCCAAGCCCCGCCCCCGGCAGCGCGGGGCTCCCCGGGGCTCCGAGGAGCGCCCAGCGGGAGCGACGGGAACGGCGCAGGGGCGGGAGCAGCGCGGCCGGCCTGAGACGGGAGCTGACCCCTTCGAGCAAGCAGCTGAGRGGAGAACGGGGGGAGCAGGGGCCAAGCTCTCCTCAGCAGCGGCCAGTGACAGCACAGGGGGCAACGAGCACCAAGTCCATCACCGGAGGTTCCCTCGCTCCGGGAGGAAGAGCTTCTCTTCGGTGAGGGGGAAGAGAGGCCTGGAAGAGGCTGCCTAGAGAGACTCTCCTTCTTRGGAGRTCTTCCAAACCCACGTGGATGCAGGCCTAGGCCCCAGGCTCTGGGTGTCCCTGCTGGAGCAGGGGGGTTGGACGAGACTGTCTCCAGGGGTCCYTTCCACCCTCTGCCCTCCTGTGATCCTAGAGGGGACAAGAGCACCGCAACAGGCCCTGAACGCAGAGAGGCAGGAGAAGGTAAGCAAGTCTGGTGCCCTTTTCTATCAAACCTCAGTCAAGGCAGTGATTAAAATACAAGGAAACTTTATTTTTTTCAGTTTTATCAAGATTTTCCTGTGTTTTTTTTTTTTTCTCTCTCCTTTTTTTTTTTTTTTGATGTTGTTTTGTCTTCAAGCTGCTTATTAGTGGACAAGTCCAGTCAGTTTTTGTATTAAAAAGGATCTTGATGGAGGTAGCTTTGTCTCTGTCCTGGCTTTTGCTTGGTCTCGCCTGTGCACTCATCTCGGTAAACAAACTCAAAATAAAATTAGAAACAAAAAACAGGAATTCCAGGCTGAGGCAGCGAGCAATGCAGCCAGGCTCTCTGTAACAGACATGGCGCTGTGGCCTCCAGTCACTATATACAGAGTCCGTCGYACGTGCCCCTCTCTCAAGCGCGCTCCTCGCTCCATCGGCTGGCTGCAGCGGAAGGAGGTTCTTCTCCCAGAGACCTGTACAGCAGCTTCCACGGAGGGAATCAGCACCCGGTCAGGAATGTCAGGCAGGGGGAGAGCGTCAGGGGGAGGGTCGCTTCAGCTCGGCCGACAGGTCAACAGCTCCGCCCCGGCCTCACTGCTGCTGGGCCACCTGCGGGGCGAGACGAGGGCGGCTGGGAGGCGGCGGCGGCAGGCGGGGAGCGCTGGGCCCGGCCGCCGCGCGGCCACGTACCTGCTGGGGCGGCGGCGGCGGCGGGGGCTCGCTGCTGCGGTTGGCCAGCCTGCTGAGGATGTTGCGCTCCGACATCTGGAGGCGCACGGCCACGGGCGGGATGCGGGCGATGGTGGCAGGCAGGCGAGTCACGTCTGCCTTCATGTCGCTCAGAAGCTCCTCCAGCTGCTTCAGAACTGCAGGAGAAAGGGGGGGTGGGTTCAGAAGAAACCCCTGCCTGGGTAAAGGGCCAAATGGGGCAGAGATGCTAAACAAATATGCCCCCTTGCTCAACACACTGTATCACCTTTGTGCAGCACAGCGTTGGCGGGCTTGTTGCCGGCCATGGACTCCTTGGAGAGGTGCTGGTGGCTCTCGGCCAGGCACTCCACCTCGGCGAAGCGCGTGTTCAGGGCCATGGACGGGTGAGAGGGGTCTTCGGACATGTTCAGGTAGGCAGCTCGTCGCAGCTGCTCCTCGATGACCAGCGCCTGCTCCAGGAGCTGCGAGAGACGGGCTGGGTAAGAGGCAAGTCTTCAGCAAGGGCCCTGCGCCCCCCAGCTCGCCTCCTCTTGCTCCCACCTGCACCAGGTGGGATTCCACAGGTAAATCCGCAGTGCACAGGCTAGTGCCTATACTGAAACAAAGCCTGTATACTGCAAAACAATTCAAGAAGCACTTAAAGGCTCCAGTAAGCTCAGCCAGGCAAACGAGAAAACCAGGGTGTAGCCCAGCCAGTTTAATAAGGAAGTCTCATCCTGTAGGATACTCCTCTGCTAGTGTGGCTCAGATTCCTAAAGGCTTTATAAAATAACTCCCTCCTTCCCATCTCTAAATAAAAGAAATAAATAAAACTTTCAGTCTTTCTGTAGAGAGCAACAGGAAAAGGGGTCTTCTTTTGAGTTTCACTGAGAAATATTCTGAACTGCTAATAGGAAGGAGTCTTAAAAAAAGGAAAAAAGAACAAAAAGGCACTACTTAAGCATGTCAGATAAGGACACTTGAAGAAATCAGGTCAGACAGTGCAGAGCAAATAAGCAAAGTGACACTGAATCGCAGGGTAAAATATTCAAGAATTGCAGGGGTTGGTTTTAAAATGGCTTTCAGGATGAAACTACTGTCACTTGTAAGTACTTCAGGAGACTTCAGGAGACTGACGACAGYCCCTTCACCAGTCCAGCATTACACGATGTTTTCAAGTTCTCGAGGGGGCTGTGGCCCACCAAGCAGAAACCGTGCTGGAAACGGCCACTAACACCTCCTGAGTGGCAGTTTTTAAGGGAACGTGCAGAGAGAACGATGATTCAAGCTCCCCAACACGCTGCTTCCAGAGAAAAGGGTTCCTATCATCAGTAATTCTAACAAAATACTGCATTTTTTAGCCACCAATAGGAAAAAACATTGTAAAAATCTTCACTTTAACAGAAAAAATGAGAATGAAGTTCAATAGAACAGATTAATTGAAAAGGACACTTATCACTCTGAAGAGGAATCCTCACCTTAAACCTCCTTGCCAAGAACTTATTCTTAATTTCCAGGAAGTTGCCTCTGTTCATCTCACCCTTGAAAGGTTCGTTGAGGATGGCGTAACGAGGATCGTTCTGAATATCTTGCCAACGGGCATAGCCATGACTGAGATGGGATGAGCTCAGGCAAACAAAGGCATTGAGAACAAGGGAATACACAGCCCAGGCAGCTACATTTTGAGAGGCAGCAGGGAGAGGAGGCACCGAGACAGGGAACAAGGGCAAGGGAAAGGCAGGAATAATGCCCTGCTCACCCAGTCGTACCTATGCTGACATGAACCCCTCCTCCCATCAAGGCAGCATTCTTGTGGAAGAAGTTTGAGCAGCCTCTCACTTAACACAACTCCCGCGGACCCAAAAGAGTGTACAGGAACAAGGGAAGGCTGCTCATCCACCCGGTAAGGATACTTGATAATTCCAGCAAGGAGCCAGTAGTCGTGACGCCGATGCCAGATTTCGTAGGTCTTCTTCGTAACAGTTGCAGCCCGTTCCTCATTCTGCCACAGGGAGTGCAGTTCTGGAAAAGCAAAAGACAGGAATAGCTCCAGGTCTCAGCAAGACAAGTTCAGGCAGGTAAGTCCAAGCAAAGGCAGGGCTCTCACCAGTAAAGCCACCATCAGCTATGTTGAACATGAAGCGCTGCTTTACTGCCTTCTTGTGCCTTTCATCTACTGACTCTTTCAGCATCTCTCCATTCTGCAGCATCACCACATCTCTCTTATCATCCTCCTTCTTCTCTTCTGCACATACAATTAGGAAACAATTAAGAAAAACATAGCACGTCCCACAGCAAGTTGGACCCGCAAAGCACCTTTGCTGGGGAAGGGTTAAAGGAGGGAATGGAATCGTCAGCGCTCACCCTTCTCATCCAGGGTGATTATAGGAGGTTCAGAGGGTGGCTCGATAGATGTTCTGTCTTCTACCTTCTCCACATCAGCTGCAGAAGGGGAACATGAGATGTAGCTGTTAAGTCCAAGGATTCAGAGCGTGAAACCTAACACTGCTCTCTGCCTCCCTGTTCAAAGCCCTGAAATGGCCCCCTTGATTATCATCTACAGGTGCCCCTTTCTTTGGGGKGCAGTACTCAGTCAGGGAAGATGCAGCTTGAGGAAGAAACTACTTTTTTTTTTTGTCTCCCTTTAATTGCTCTTAAGGGTCTTAGCCTTCCTAGAGATACCTTTGCTCTCCACTTCCATTGGCTCATCTGGTCTTTCTTTCACCTCTGGTTCCTCTACTTTTTTTTCATCTGTCTCTGCAGGATTTGCTGGAGATTTTGCTTCCTGTGGTGGTGTCTCCACAGGCTGAGCACACTGCTTAGGACAGAAATTATCAATGAGAATAGAAGCAAAGCAGCATACGGTCAAAATCAACAACCTACTTCAGCACTATGAGAAAACAGCCAAAGGAGTTTGGAAAACATCTTAAAAAACAGATAGAGGGAAGATGCACAGAACTGCCAGGCCGGCTCCTCTAATGATGCTGGGAGTTTGCTTTTGGCCTTTTCCCAGGCAGAACTTGCCCCAGGAGCTGAAGGGCACAGTAGTGCAGGGCAGAAGTATAGATATTTGGAACTGCATGAAGCAAAGAGCCTAGCACTCACCTCCATAGAAACCTCTATGTCAGTGGCAGAGGCACTGAGCTCCTTCTCCGGTTCAGCTGACTCTCCTTGTTCCTTGGTGCCGGCTCCTTCTTCTACCTTTATTCCCTCTTCTGTGTATTCCCCAGCCCAGAGCAGCACAGTGGACAAGAGAAGGAAAGAAGCCATCAGTAGGGTCTTCCCCTGACTATGACCAAGCACACATCTCCTGAGCTCCCAGAGATTAGGCCCACACAAATGGGACCTCTGTCACTCAAGAGCAAACCCTTTTCCCGCCCACCACAAACACAGGGCTTCTCTTCCCACTGAAGTCAGCTCATCCTGGGAAGCTAGTGTCCTCTCTTGCCTTTAAGGGCATGCACATGTCTTTGGCAGCCCTCCTAACACGAGAGGTCAGTTGATCTGCGTCCACCCCCAGGCCCCCTACCACAGCTCTGGTGAGGGGGAACAGGTGGGGTGAGGTCAGGACGCAGGAGTGGGCAGGGGGCGGCTCTCACCAGCTGGGGGGACRGGAGCAGGAGTATTTGGCTGCGTATCCCCTGGCGTTGAAGGGGTCGGAGTTTTGGGAGACGGTGAGCTTGGCTGTGAGAGCTTCTTGTTCTCCTCTATCTCTGCCAGTTCCGGCATGCTCCAGCGTCCATTCACGTGCTCAAACTCCTGCACCTGCACGACAGCAAGGAAAAGACTGTTATTGCACCAGTCGTGTAAAGCTGATCTTTGTATTGAGCAGAACCATCACTTGGTATGTGGCAAAGAAAAAGGTGGGGAAGAAAACTCGCTGGCCTAGCGCGGCAGCAGACAGAGGGTGCACGGAGGCGGCAGGACGTGTCGCCCTGCTAGGCGCTCACCTTCTTGCGTATAAGCGACATGACCCCGATGCGGGTAAGGACGTGCTGTCGGGAGAGGCCTTCCCTGGGCACTCCGTCTGCGAAGGTCTCTGCGCCATCGGCTCCGGGCTCGCACAGGTGGCGCATGAAGAGCGACACGTAGGCCCTGCGGGAGGAGCGGCCGCGCCGTTAGATTAGATGGCAGCTAAGACTGAAGCCATGTGGGATCCAACTCTTTTCAATATACAGCAGAGGAGGCCACCCCAAGACTCCACACCCACAGTAACACAAGTACTGGGTTTTCTACCACTTCAGGAGAGACTCTCCATACAGAATTACTACAGGAACTCACCAGTTGTCTCAGGATAGAGTCAGAGATCATTTTAAACCAAGAAAGGGCTTGGGTAGAACGCCGTTACATGCCTGCCTGACTAGGCTACTCTAGACCAGACACTTGCTTTCAGTGACTCATAGAGCTAGTCCAAAAAGAACCAGGATCAATCCCTACTCTCTCACGGGGTACACACATCCTCCCTTGTCTTAGCAGATCATCTAGTACAACGAGGAGCTGCAGCCCCTCAGAAGGGCCAGAAAAACCCTCCATCTCCTCCCTTCCACAGTGGCTAGAGATTGCCCATCTTCTTCACCTAACACAGCCTTACTTGAACTCCTTCTCTGACTTGCCACGGAGGTCCCGAACAAGCCACTGGGTGGTGAAGGCATCCTGAGGGGGCATTCCATAGCGCATGATGGCATTAAGGAAYGCTTTCCGTTGACGTGCATTGAAACCCAGGACCTGGAAAGTGGAAAGGCAGGCGTGGAGACGGCCCTATATACAGGGGCAGCTAGGACTCAGACAACTATCCTGGGTGGTACTTACCTCAATATTCCCTCCCACGCGAGCAAGTAAGGGAGGCAAAGGCTTGTCCTTATCATTTCTCAGGCCTTTGCGGCTAGGCCGACGAGCTGCTGAAGAGAGAAATGCAGCTAAGGAAGAGAGACAACGCACAGCATATTGTGGTGTGAATATTTCCCTTGCAAAAAAGCAATATAAAGTGTACCAAGCAATAAGTTCCAGCTGCTCTCACACCCAGAAAAGCTGTTCCAGGAACCCTGGCTTCACCACAACTTACCTTCAGACCTCTCATCGAAGTCCTCATCTCCTTCTTCAGAAGCAACTGAGTAATCTGACTGGTTATCTGACTGGTCATCCTGCCAGTCTGAAAGAAAAGCAGCACGTGAGCCTGAGACGCTACTCCGTAACTCTCGCCGCAGCACACGCGCCCGCGCCCGTCCCCAGGACTCCTCTGGGGTTTGTACCTCTGTCTTCCTGGGAACCGTCGTTGTAGTTAACCTGCTTGCGGATACGTTTGCCCTTGCCCAGGTTCCTGGCCAGATCCTCTTGTTGCTGCTCATAATGGTGACGCAGCAGTTTTTCCCAGTAATCAGGGTCAACTGACTCTTCCTGCTTAATGATCTCCCGTTCAACCTCCTCTTCCTCCTGTCACAGACAATAAATTCAGAGCCAGCCCTGTACTCCGAATTCCAACTTCATAGAACAGAAATACTGCTGCTCGCTGCTCTCACTAGCATGAGGACCCTATTTGTTTCTATTTAACTAATCCAACATCACTGATTAGAAGATACTAGCTGACAGCTGCCTTACACTCACCCCCATCTCTTCTTCACGGACCACATACTGCGCCACTTTGAAAGAGCTGAGATATTCATTCATGCCCTGAAGTTCTGTGTCTTCCGTTTCATCCTGGTTTCGGTCTAGCAGGCGCTCAATTGCTTTGTCATCATAATGGATGACGCTGCTGTCCTCACCTTCTTTGTTATCTCCTGGAAGAGAAGCACAGACAGTGCATGAACACGGAGTGCAAAGGACGGGGGATGCTGTGCTCAGGCCCTCAGGGCCGCAGCACGCTGCCTCCTGGCCCAACGAGCCAGTCCTCCCCACCTCACCCAGCTCCCCTTCCCAGGCACTCACCTCCCTCAGTAGCCTCATCCTTGAAGAGCTCCTCAGTGCCAAATTTGAGGATGTCATCAAGCTCCTGCTTAGACATGGAGCCTGTCTTGGAGCCCAACCCTGGCCTCACTACCAGATGCGTTAGCATCATTTTCTTCTTGGCCACCTGCGTGATACGCTCCTCCACTGAGGCCCTCGTCACGAAGCGGTATATCATCACTTTCTTGTTCTGGCCAATCCTATGTGCACGACTGAAGGCCTGCAGAAGAGAACACGTGCTCAAAGCAGTCCAGAGCCACACAAACAGTGGCCTGTCACACGCCATCAGCTTTAAAAATTCCCAGCTGTCTTTATGTCTCTGCTGAAGGTTAGCAAAGGTCAAGCCATGGAAGAATGCTCTGTTTTTTCACTTACCACTTCTACCCATCTGCACCATCAGCTCTAACTTTGTGTTTTTAAGATGGAAGTCTCACAGATATTCCTCCTCTCCTACTGATGCTTTTACCTCCCCTCTTCCTCAGTATCACTCCTTAGCAAGCAGTCTCACTCATTCTCACCTGAATGTCATTGTGGGGATTCCAGTCTGAATCGTAGATAATCACAGTGTCTGCTGTAGCCAAGTTAATACCAAGACCTCCGGCTCGAGTTGAAAGCAGAAAGCAGAACTGCGGAGCACCAGGAGCTTGGATACAAGGAGAGAAGAGAAGTAATCAAGGGAGAGCATGTTATGCAAATGTGGATTTTTATTTGCTCCATCACATCATGTGATAGGAATCACAACCACTTTCAAATTCCAGGGCAACAATTGAAGACGTAGGCAGTAACCAACAACCCCACGCTGACCTCTAACAACACACATAGCATTTTTCACTTTGTGCAGGAAGTTAGAGATTTCATACCATTGAAGCGATCAATAGCCTCCTGGCGCATGTTCCCTGTGATTCCTCCATCAATCCGCTCGTATTTGTACCCTTCGTGTTCCAGAAAGTCCTCCAGAAGGTCCAACATTTTAGTCATCTGAGTATCAAAACCAACAACAGTGAGTGGTGCGAGATGGTATCATACAGGTGGCCTCCTTTTTCAGGGCAGGAGTTGCCAGCCTTCATATTTTTCCCAAATACCTGTGAGAATATGAGCACCCTGTGACCTCCTTCCTTAAGATTCTTTAACATCTTCTGGAGCAGCAACAGCTTTCCAGAGGCTCGAATAAGAGCACTACCATCATACATGCCATTGGGCATTTTTGGAGCTTCCTGAAAAAGAGGAAAAAAGGAATGTAAGTTATAAATCTTCCCCAAAGCAACTTGAAGGGACATGGCTTGTTATTAGACCCGATCTGTATTCAGTATCGGATCCTGGCTCATGTCTGGCCATTTAACTTGGCAGAACAACCATGGGCAGCACTACTTACACACCACTGCTCCCCTACACCTTTTCTGTCTCAGTTCGTCTCCTTGATCCCCCTGCCTTTCTTACCAACTCAGTCCCTATTTTTACTGCCTTCACTGTCTTACAGTAAACTGCAAGACAGTTCCTACTCGTTATACAGAAAGACTAGGAAAGGAAAGGTCTTCCAGGACATCAGGTCTACATAAGATCATAAATATAAAAAGCATGTGTGCAGCAGGGAGGATACAAGTGAGCAGAGGAATAACAATCCTTCCTAAGCTAAGATAACTGTCTCCCTGATATCATCCAGCAAAGGATTTCCATCTAGAGAATCAATCAAGGGACAGAACATACCATAGCAGCCACAGGAAAGAGGTAGGGGTGGTTACAGCACTTCTTCAGATCCATAACAACGTTGAGCAAGGAGACTTGGTTACCACCACCACGTGCATTCAGTGCCTCAAAGTTTCTTGTCAAAATGTATTTATAGTATTTCCTGAAAAAAAGGAAAGTAACTGAGTCACCCTCAGGAGAATGCCCAGCATACTCTTGTTGCCAGCCTCTGCACAGTTCCTGACGTTACCTGCCTGCTACCTATGCTCTGCCAGTAGCACTCACTACCCCTTCATCCCTTACATCAGAGCCCAGGATTACTCTTCCCTGTACTCCAGTGGCAGCAGGAAGTCTTGCTCCTAAACAGCATGCTGAAAGCCTTGCAGTGGGATGAGCAGCCAGCTCCAGCACCCTCTTTCAMACTACAGAACAGAGCAACAGGAGTTGAACAGCAGGTGCCCCCTCCATCCCCRCACTCACTTCTGCATGGGGCTCAGCTCCACTCTGACAATGAGTTCTGTCTTAGATGGCATGTTCTTGAACACATCAGCTTTGAGGCGCCTCAGCATGTGCGGGCCCAGCATGTCATGCAGCTTCTTTATCTGATCCTCCTTGGCAATATCTGCAAACTCTTCTAGGAAGCCCTCCAAGTTACTGCAGAGAAAGAGATACACTTGGCAAAAGCCACACAG